TATATATATATATATATATATATATATATATATACATATCATATCTGTAAAATTATATCTGATCTGTAAATATACATTTACATATCTGTAAAAAATTATATATATATATATATATTTACATATCTGTAAAAAATTATATATATATATATATATATTCTGTATTATAGAACTTTTCAAATTGATTAATAGCAGTATCTTCGAAACGTCGGGATTACATTTACACGACACAAGATTATAGCAGCCGCGATTTCCATTGACTGAAAACGCTGAACCAACAGCGAATCATTCGGAAATTGTGTCACCTGCGGCTCTGGTCGATCCGCTTATGCGTCACGATTCGGCTGTTCCGTCATGCCTTCTCGAGAGGAGGGGCAACGTCTGATTGTGCAACGGTCCCTATTTTATTTAAGAGGTTCGAGTGCATGCTTTCGCCAAACGAACTCTCGGGCCTCTGCTCTCGTAGTCCCTCTTGTGCTTGGGCACTGAAAACCGACGACGATGGGAAACGGGGGAGGAAAGGGAAGAGGTCAGGCAAGTGGCGACGAAGAGGAAGGATTGTATAGTGAATCATACCTTGCTCCATTGACGTCAGAAGACACTGTGGTAATTCTCTTACGGAGTTAACTCGACACGGGGAGGTTGCCCCAGTCCCTCGGTTTCGTAATGTTTCGTGAGACATCGACGCGGGGGCGAGTATGAGACACCTCGTAATTTGTCACCTGGATCGATGATTGTCGATGGGAAAATACCTCTGCGCCTCGCGGCACAGAGTGAAACAGAGCTCTTTGTTGAAAAGCAATCTCTTCGCTCGTGCTCGTTCTTTGTTTTCATCTTGGTGTTAAGTGGGATGATAGAAGTGATTAGATCGGTACATTCTTGGAGTTTTTATACATTCAGGTGGAAGATTGTCTGCAAACATAAAACAACGGGTGTATAATATTTATATTCGATATTTATTCTTTGATCCTCAAGAAGATTAAAAGCAATTGATTAAAAAAAAAAAAAAATAAACACTACTTCTGTATTTTAATATACTCAAAAGGTATCGAAAGGTTGAAAAACCAGAGATAAAAAATTTCCGAAATGAAGTCGATGAATAAACTTTCAACAAAGACGAGAGTATTTGAGTTATTCGGGGACCGCGAAAAAATATTAATTTAGATAGGCAGACGTGTTTCACGAAAACTTTACTTTTGATTATTGCAGGAGCAATGGCTATCGAGGCAAAAAAAATTATATCTTCGGCCTTGGCTCTCCGCGGGAGCCTCCGTGCACCGATGAACACGATTAACCAATTAGCGATACCGTTCTTCTTGTTTTACGCGCGGCAACTTTATCGTCGCCGCTGTATTTTACGAGGCGTTATTTGGGCAACCAGCTCTCGGAATTTTAGCCAACGGAAGCGACTACCTTTTTGCCACTCCTTGTCGTCGCTGCTCTCAAGATCGTTCCCCGTTTTACACAATCCGTTCTTCTGTCTCTTCTCACCGATCTTTCGCTCGTTATCTTCCGTGGAAATCGTGTGTTTTGATCAAACCGCTATAAATATAAATAATTTGCCTTGTAATTGATCAAATTTAATTGTGAACAATTTTTGAGCAATTTATATTTGAAAATAAATCATTGAACTTGATACAAATGGTGAGATATATCTTGTGTTTATATTGACACGGTTTAATGGACACAGTTTCTTTTTTTATTAGAATTTAAGTTTTATTCCTGCGTGATATTTTTCTCACTCTTCTTTCATTGACATACTGAAGACTGATGGTTCGTTTATTCTTCGTAAAGTTCAACGATTGAATTTTCAAATGAACGAGTGAATGACTAACTCCCACCATAGTCGAGGAATTGCAGTGATCAGGTCTCTCGAATCTACTCGAATTTGCATATTTAAAAATGCCTCAAAAATTCCCATTAATTTTCGCTCGACACTTAAAACTATAGAACATAGAGAGTATGTAAATTGTAGAATATATAGAAAGTGTAAAAAAAAAAAAAGAAAAAATTGCCGATCTCGAGTCCAGATCGGACGAACAATACCATTTAAATATTCAAGATACTTTCGCCATAGATCATGGATAGAGGGAACGATCAATGTCCTCTGCAAGATTCTACGACAACTCGAGACGTTCGTCAACACCAGCAATTAATCCGCATTCCGCGGTCCGAATTCCGCCGAGTCTTGGTCCGCTCGACGTCGTGTGATTCATGCTCGTGATCGGTAGCGTATTCGCGCGGTACATTGACCTAGACACACACCGGTCTATCCGCTCGGCTATTTAACACGTGCATCGATCAGCAGTGAACTTTAGAACAGCGACGATACACAGGTAAAGTCTATAGACCATGGGGGAAGAGAGGGAACTCTAAAGAGGGACGAAGGTGGAGAGGCGAAGGAGTAGGAAATAAAAAAAAAAAAGAAAAAGAAGAAGAAGAAAGCGATGACTAAGAGACGTGCACGTGGAGGAGCGCGATGCACCGTTAACGGGGTGGCTCTGGGAGGGGTTGGTAACCACCATCATCATCGCCGTAGCCACCAGCAAGGCCCTGATGAGTCATCCGACCGTTGGTCTCCCCGATGAAGAAACAACGGGAGGATCCAGGGCCGCCTCCTTCGACGTCGGGCCCCTACTGGCCGGATTAACTAACCTTGTTAGACCCAGTGCGCACACCTTGCACGACGCTGCTAATTGTAGCGTGTACAGGGCCAGTCACGCGCTTCGTCTACGTCGTCGAGAATTCGCCGCTTGTAAACAGTACTCGGAATCGAGTCGTTTAAATCTTTAACTATGGCTCTCGTGAGTTTGGTAAAAAGAAGCGACAGTACTGTCTGATAATTTGGTATTATTTAATTAAAGTAAATAGCTTTCGAAAAATCAGTTTCTTAATCGTGAAAAATTGCAACAAGTGGAGTTAAATATAAGTAATTTGAAACTCGATTATCGTAGTTAGGTATTTCAGATGAACAAAAAAAAAAAGAAAAAGAAAAAGAAAACTACGTGTTTTGATATCCCTGATCAATTTTATTTTCGAGATATATGACTGACAGTTCGCAATGCGTGCCACAATATTGGAGTAAATTGATCGCTTTGACACTTGCTCAGCGGAGCTTGACGCGTATTTACTCGTATATAATAACGCAGAAGGCGATTTAGGTAACCCCTTAGATTAATGGCTCTTACACCTGAACGGTGAAAGGATCAACTGGTCTCAAACGTAAACTAAATATTCCTGTAAAGAAAGGCACAAAGAAAAAGTCTCTTAAACAGCCTTATGTTACTGTTGGTAATCGTAATCATCGATCGTAAAGTCGAAATTTCTCGTGAAAAATATTTTCTCCGATCTCGAGCTTCGCGTTTCGTTTACTGAAAAAAAGCAAAGGAACACCGTCGGTAATAACGGAACGGGAGGAAACGGGCCGCGATACATGAGTGGACGAGATAAAAAAGGGCCAAGATGCGATCTGGCGAAATTAGAAAGTGTGTACCTCGAGGCCCCCGAAACAGCTCGATAGACGGTGGCCATTTTTGTTTCAGGTAGCTCGCTGCTACCCGGCTAATGGCCGCGAAACATGACTCACTGTGTTTACCGTTCTATTATCAAGTAATGGATTGTAGATCTATCACTTTCTATTTGAAATCGATGCGTATCTAGATCCACTGTACTTGGCTCGTGTTACACGTTATCGTTTTGGATACACACGCACGACGCGATACGAGTAATAAAAGTCCCGAAAAAAAAAAAAAAAAAAGAAAAAACGATAGGAGATAGGAGATGATGAAAATCTAGCGAATTCCGCGATAATATCGCTCAAGTAGTATAACGTGTAATATAACGTTTATGTAATATAACGATTATGAGTGTTATATTAGGGAACCTACTGGTCTCATATATATATTTAAATAATAAAATATTTAAAGTAATAAAACGTGTTGATGAGAGTTACTATCACTCGCAGAAAAATTTTAAATTTTAAATTAATCGTCGAATTTTTGAAAAATTATTTTTCCGCGCCAACAAGTAGAAGCGTATTCATCAAAGTAATTTTTTTTTTCCTTCACTCAGTATTACGAAACGTTTTCACATGCAGGTACGTGTGTATATGTATTTTCACGAGGATTATCGAGAGGCTGCGAATTCGCAACGATCGATGCCTCGAGGATTGCGTAAAAGGCTCGACGACGATGACGACGACGACGACGACGACGAGTCGAGGGAAAAATCGGGAAAAAGGAGGCCGCAGTCATTCAACAATGTCAGCGCACGATCGGCCGGGAAATAAATGAAATGCATTTCCATGGAGTGCATACTTCGATACTCGCGGACTATTAATATCGTTATGACAGCTTGACTAATGATCCTCAATACCGAAGCACGGCTTTGACATTACGAGATTAAAATCCTGCGGATGAAGAAAAAAATTGCCAGGCTCGTGGGGGTTGACAGGGGGAGGAACGCGAGAGGGCGAGGAACTTTTAGCGCGCGACTTAATACGATTACGTTTCAGTACGGTGTCATTTGTATTCCCGGCGAATTCACCGGCATCCGTATCTGCTCCGATCGATCAATCATCGCTGCACGTCGATTATTTCTATTATAAATATTTATACGCGAAGTGGCAAAAATTTTAAGACAATTTCGACAGGTTGACAGCTGCGCTTTCGTTAAAGATAGCGTTCTCATAAGATGAAATAAGCTGAACGTTGTTAACGTCAAATCTTGTTACTTCGTGTGAAAGGTAACGATTGAAGAAAATAGCATGATAGGGAAATGCTCTTGACAATCATATCTTGTTCTAAAGAAAATTCAAAGAAAATTCACACCTGTTTAATTGACATCTATTGTTCTACGATGATAAAAGATTCGCCATTACAGTTTATCTTAAGCAAAAAATAAAACGAAAAGAATCTCCCCGGTTAACAAAGTAAAAAGAAATTTAAAAGAATCAAGCAACCGCCATCGCGCGTTTCGTGGGATAATCGGCGGAGGAACAGTCGCTGCCGATTATACGGGATAAATATAGAGAGAATAAATTGCGTAACCTGTTCCGTCGCCTTTCTGGCAGATCCTACCGGCATTGGCGGAGAAATGACAGACGAAAAACGAACGAAATTATCCCCGCGAGTTGATCGCCGCGGCAATAAGGGGGTAGTTTAGCCCTGGAACCGGCAAATTCACGGGAGGGTCGGGGGCGAGAGCAACGGATGAAATCGACGAGGAGAGAGGGGGGAGGGAGGAGAGGGGCGGAATAACAATCTCGCAGAGTGTTTCTGGATATTAGCCTTAATGCGACCTGTCCGGTCAACCAGATGCCCTGATAGGCCGATACGAAATTTTTTATTCATGAGCGGCGTTCTGATGGGATTTTCATCGGCGATCTCACCTGTCTCTGCCCCCTCCCTCAGCCCTTCGTCGATCGCAGTCCAATTGAACGCGGACAACCGACGACCGACGAAATCCGCCGCGTTTATTTATGCAAAACACGATCCGCGCCCGACACTCGTTCCGCTGGCCGTATCGCACGGAAAAATCGACCGTGATAACAATTGACGCGGCGCGTTAAAGAGAATGGACAATTTCCGGCCGGTCCAGTTAGATTTATTGTCAATGATGGCGCGCGAGTTTAGGGATGTTTATAGCCTCTGACAGGAACGTTGACTCTGCTCTCTGTTTAACACAGAGAATATCCGAGCTGATTGTAAACTAGGAATAGAGACAGTGTCACACGTGTACGTGTGTGATGTTTGTACGCGCAGAAGGAGCCAATTAATTTCGGTGTACGTACACGCACGTAAAGAGTACAAAAATGAAACGCGTTGATTTTATACATGTACGTGTTATAAATGCACGTACACAATAATTCATTCGTTCTAGCGCGTCTCGTTGTACTCTTCATCCTCGCAAAACGTGTCGGCAAGTTGCACGCGTCATTCGAAATGTCGAAGTTCACCCTCTTCCGTATCAGCAGGTCTCGAGCGTTCACCTGCACCAACAATCATCGACAGACCTCGAAACTTCCTTATGCATCGAGCATCAAACAGAAAGGATCTCGAAACGAAAGCTTAATAAACGTGCATCTCGATGAATCGCTCGCCGCGAGTTGGCGCGCGCGTGCTCCTCGCCAGGAAATCGCGTTTCCTGCTGTCTTCGCGCACGAAGACAATTAAATCTCGCCGGTTGAGGAACGACTGCAGCGAAAGGAATCGAATCGAGCGATCACGAGTGGAACGAAGGGCGAATCGGGTAGCGCGGAGATGGTCGGGGGTTGTGGAGAAACGACGCGCGAGCGCCACGGAGAAAGGGAATCCGCCGAAATTATCGTTCATCAGGCTCGAGTGCTCGACGCTGCTCCCACGGGAGTATCTCTCCGGTTCATCCGCCCTTTGTTG